CTAAAGGTTTACAACCATCAGGGAGATCAACCAACTCCCAAGTATGGTTCTGCATAATGGACTCGATTTCGCTATTTACAGCTTCTTCCTAGAGTGGTCCATCTGGGCTGGACAGAGCTTCCTTAAGGGAGCTCGGTTCATCATCCAGCATGTACGTAATAAAATCAGATCCAAATATTTTCGCCGTTTTTAACCTTTTACTACGTCTCGGTTTTTCATCAGTACCCTCTGGTACAGAACCACTAGCAGTTTCATACATTCTTTTATTAGAACTAGATTCTGCTCTTTCCTTCAGAGGAAAAATATTCTCAAAGAATATTGCATTCCTCGACTCAATCGTGGTACCAACAGATACCTCTGGATTTTCTGATTTATGAACCAGAAATCTATATGCTGTACTATTGTACGCATATCCAATAAATACACAATCGATCGTCTTTGGCCCGATTTTCATTTGTTTGGGTTCCGGTACTGAAACCTTAGCCAAACACCCCACACTTTCAGGTATTTATAAGACGGCTTACGATTTTTCCACATTTCGTAAGGAGTCTCATCTTTCCCTTAGGTGGTATTTTATTCAGAATATGATTTGTTGTTAAAACAGCTTCCCCCCACATGTTTTGAGGTAATCCTGAATTTATCAACATGGCATTCATCATTTCTTTTAAAGTACGGTTCTTGCGTTCAGCAACACCGTTTGACTGTGGAGAATAAGGGGCAGTCGTTTGATGAATTATGCCATATTCGGAACATATTTGTTCAAAAGGAGCTACATACGCCCCACCCCTATCGCTTCGGATTATTTTAATCCTTTTGTCGAGTTGATTTTCAACTTCAGTTTTATAAATTTTAAATGCTTCCACAGCCTCGTCTTTGCTTCTTAATAAATATAAGTAGCAAAACCTTGTGCAATCATCGATAAAAGTAATAAAATATTTTTTACCCGTTCTTTTTTGCACACTTTTCATATTACATACATCAATATGGATTAAGCCTAATGGTTCAGTACACCTTTCCACCGAGTGAAAAGGCAACTTAGCCATTTTTGCTTCAATACAAATCTCACATTTCTTATGTGATTCAATTTTAGAATTAGGAATTAATTCTAAATTCATCAACCGTTTAATTGCATTTCGACATGTCCCAATCTAATATGCCATAAATCAGAGCACTCAACTGTATAAACAGAAATAGGCTTTTCATTATCATTTAAAACGGTTACACGGCTCACGGCCATTACATTCATTTTAAACATACCCTTGTCGAGATAGCCACGACCAAGGAAAGTTCCAAACTTGCTAAGAACAAATTTCTTAGCATCAAATACCAGCCTAAATCCATGCTCAACAAGAAGAGATCCTGAGACCAAATTCTTGCGGATGTTTGGGACATGCAGAACATCCTTAAGCTTCAACTCCTTTCCAGAAGTCAGCTTCAGCACCAGAGTGCCCACTCCAGCCACATCAGCCGTGGCGGAGTTTGCCGTGTAAAGTTTCCGACTCTTAGCAGGAGTGTATTCAGAAAATACCTTCTTATCGGAACACACATGACGAGTGGCACCAGTATCGATGTACCACTCCCTTGGGTTATCCACCATATTGGCTTCAAACACCACAGCCGACATATCAAAGTCGGTTAGTTCACCCGGCACAGGGCCGTGTTCAGCAACAAGGGCACTCGGTTTATCTTTCTTTGGCCCAGCCTTCTTTGGCCTCTTGCAGTCTTTAGCCATATGGTTCGGCTTTCCACAATTATAACAAGTTCCGGTAAACTTCCAAACCTTGGCAGGCTGCTTCCCTTTGTCTAGGGACTTTCTCTTGCTCGAGTTGCCTTGCTCTATCAAGTTAGCACGAGCCTCTATCATCGGAGACTTCGTCGATGAATTACGGTTGTCCTCCTCAATACGAAGACGAACAACCAGGTCTTCAAGACACATCTCCTTCCTTTTATGTTTGAGGTAGTTCTTGAAATCTTTCCAACCCGGCGGTAGCTTTTCAATCACAGCCGCAACTTGGAATGACTCGCTTAGAGACATTCCTTCAGCATGGATATCGTGCAAGATAAGTTGAAACTCTTGCACTTGGGACACCACGGTCTTAGAGTCGACCATCTTGAAGTCAAGAAACTTGCCGACGACGAATTTCTTCGCTCCGGCATCCTCAGTCTTGTACTTCTTCTCCAAAGCAGCCCAAAGCTCTTTGGCAGAACCAACCGAGCTGTACACATTGTACAACTCATTACTAAGTCCGTTCAGGACATAGTTACGGCAAAGGTAATCACCTTGCCCCCAAGCTTCGTACGCAGTGCGTAGTTCAGCATTGGTCTCATTTTCAGCAATAACCGGGGGGTCGTCCTTCAGGTATTTCACCAAACCCAAAGTGGTCTGGTAAAAATGCATCTTTTGTTGCCACCTTTTAAAATCAAGCCCATTGAATTTTTCGGGCTTCTCAGCAGTAGGGACTTGGACAGCAGGTACATGATTGATCGGATGTTGAGTGTTGGAACCATTTTCGGTGGATGTCTTCAGTCCAGTAGGTTAAGATATTCTTCTTGCGGTTGTTACAAATTTGGTTATAAAATACACGGGAATCCTACGAACTGATATATATTTTTCAGTTCTTACAAATAATCTAAAAAATAGAAAATTACAATCGAACTGAAAAATAAATTATAACCGAAAAATTAAATTAAAACTTAAAACGGAAAGATTTTAGCCGAGGCGAGTAAAACTCTTTCCGCAAGAAGAATACGCCCCGTGTGGCAGCTAACGGTTCAGGCGTAACTTCCTCAAAGATACAACGGCAAACGTCTCTAAATCTGTAGCACACCAGATTTACGAGCTCCGGCGAACTGAAACGGAGTCGAGAATTGAGCACTTAAAAATATGAATAAAAATATCTCTCGTTTGTTATTTTGATAATAAATATTTTTATATTTTTCTATTCTTTCTTTCTCTCTATCTTTTTCTTCTTTTCTTCTGTATGGTGCATTTTCTCTTCTGATGAAGAGTTCTATTTATAGAGAGAGATTGGCACGAGTTGGCCAATTTGATTACCTTCGGTGCAATTTCCTCCTTCCCCATAATTGCATTTACTAATATATCTTACATGTGGGTTAGAGCGGCGCAGCATTTGTCCATTTTGGACTAATATTTTTTTTTTTTTTAATTAATCCAAACAAGTGGGGCGGCGCCCACTTTCCTTTACACTTTCATACCAACATCTTCGGGCTCTGACCTCCGGCCATCCGACGAACCGAGCGCCGGCGACCAAGGAACCGAGCAGCAGACTCCCGTCCAATCTCAGAGCGGGCCTTTATCGGGGCTGAAGCCAATTCCCCGGCGATCTGAGAGTGGCGAGGTGGAATCTACGGATACCACTCTGTACAGAGGGAGATTGAATCCCTGGAACGTCAGTTTTTCTCTCTATTTTTTTTTCAATTATGTACAATCTGCACCATCAATTATTTACTATAGTTGTGATGCAGAGTCTCCGTCAAAATGTTATACATCCAGTGAGTATAGGGAACTGAGTAAGAAGGTGGAAATTCTTGAAGGGAGACTGAAGTTGTCGAGGCAGAGAGAAAGCCGTACGGCAAAGTTATTAGGTTTGTCTGATTATTAATATTACAAATTCAAAGTTTCTATGGATATATTGGAGCTTGTTGATGGATTAGTTTTGTTAATATTGGTGGAATCTGGATGTTTGAATGTGAAGAGGTTAATCTACATTGATTTACATATTGAATGATTATGTGCTTTTTGGCTTGTGTATTAGGTGGTGAAGGTGAAATTTTTATTCTGATAATAAAATTTGAGCTTCTTATGTTTTATAGATGCTATTGACAAGCAGAAGAGGCAGTAGATGTTAATTCTGCAAAGCATGATGCTCTATGGATTCTTCGAAATGCATATACAACAAGTGCATTTATGCCCCGACCTTGACGAAGCTAAAGGTTCCTTTGCTAAGGCAGCCCAGTACTATGAGCAAGCATCAGCATTGGTACACCAAATAAACAAGTATATTTCTTTTATGTGTTTTCATTACCGTCGTTACATTTTGCTGTGTGCTTACTTGTCTGAGCTCTTGTGCCTCGTCTATGTTTCAATTCGAGTTGTATCCTTGTTGATGTTACCGACTGACTTACATCTGTCAAATGATTGCTATTCTAGGATTGAATTATTAGTCTTTATGGGTGTGGGATTCTGGAGGATTTGCATTCATCAATCTTATGTCCTGTGTGTTTGTAAAAGAGGTCTCTGTTTACTACTACATCTTTCTATTCCATTTCATGAGCAGACAGGGCAAACAGTTGCCATCAAGAAGATTCCTTTTGGGACGCAGAAAGGGGTGAACTTCACAGTTTTGAGAGAAATTAAATTGCCTAAGGTGGTTAATATGTTTTCTAGATGGGCATTCAGTTGGAAATCTTTTGTGTTCATATTTTTGAAATGCTGTTATGTTGATGGAGTGTAGAGAACTATTGGAAAATTTTTTGTAATATTGTTTGTCGGGATGCTTCCAAGTGGCAACAAACGCTTGTTTATGTAACTTATTCCCTCAACTGTGAGTTTCCGTGACAGGCTGTAATATCTTTACAAGAAATCATTGAAAGGATCTGCCAAGGTACAACCACCCTTTACCTGCAATTTCTCCCCCTGCTTTTCTTGAAGTTGGAGTATGATCAGAATCATGTGCTATTAATATTTATATTATTTGGGAGTGGAACATGATGTTTACGTGTAATTTTTATAAGCAACAATCTATTGCAGGCGTCTGAGGATATCAGCAGCTGCTGCAGAGTTATAAAGGCATCCAAAAATCAACCTAAGCGAAGTCGAAGAAGAAGAAATAGATGTTCGAGTAAAATTAAATATATTGCTTACTACTGTACAATTAGGTGGCATTCTGTTGGATATATTCAATGCTTCTACAGCTTTAATTTTGATCAACAAAGGCCTATTGTTAACACCGGAGAGAAAGCAGAAGCTGTTGTTTTGCTTACCTCTTGAATGTTATAGAATTTGTAAGTATTCTGTTGTAAATACTTTACCAAATCATTTTTTTATTTTTTTCAAACGATAGATTCATTACTAAAACACATACTTACAATCGGCTCACTAGCTGAACAAAGAGAGGCCTACCAACACCCAAAGGTAGCCTAAATACCACGACACAACAAAACAAAACACACAAAAACTCCCTAATGAGAGAATACAAGCACCCCAACAGAAGAACCAACACTTCCCATCGGGATAATTAACACTCCTAAAAACTAAAATCGGGGAGAAAAAACACAAACGCACTCTTACAACACGAACACAAACACAAAACAATATAAGTAAACTATAGCCCTTCCAACAACAGCTAAACCAAACAGAACAATAACGACGACACCTATGGGCGGTCACCCATACGGACAGAGACCTGATCCAAGCCTCAAAGCCAAAAATTGCAGATAAATCGCCTAACCAGATTCAAGACTAAAGAACCGACAACCTCGCCCGGGTAACAACCCATATACCCGCAGCCGGAGAAAACACCACAAACTCCACCTCCCAAATCCCGACGACCCGGACCCAGGATATAAGAGTTGTATTGTGAAGAAAGGGATGAAAGATTGAAACACCATCTTATGGCCTCCAAGGAGCTTCACCCTGCTTTGATATCTCCAGAGTGTGAGTACAAGGTGCAGAGGTGTTCTAATTTGAAGGAATATGTCAAATCATCTGTTATTGGTAGTTTTTTCATGATGTCTAATACATTCTCATATGCAGGTTCTTCAACGGCTCATAGGTGGGCTTTTAGCTGTTGTGCTCGGACCTCACCAAGGGATGTCCAATGCCTCTTGGTCAGATGCATTGCTCGTGAACTCTTGACGTGCTTGGTAATGCAACCTGTTATGAATTTCGCAAGCCCCGACAAAGATCATGTCTCCTCATCTCTTCTTTTCCTAAGCATGGTTGATTGCATACATTTTATTTTTTCTGTAAAGAACTTCTAGTATAAGGGATCACTCTACTAATGCTTGCAACTGCACTCACAAACCAGAAGCCCTCGCTGATGGCTGACTCTCGAGCATGACGGTATGAAGAACTTGGTATTGTGTGGGTTTTGTATTAGGATTTGGGAGCATATGTCGTGGATGAGTCTTGCAAATGCAATGATATTGATGTCTATCAATGATCTTAGATTTATAGATGATTTCTTTTGTAACATATGTTACAGTGGCTGAAATTAGTGACTGAGAACTGTGCTTAATAGTTTTGTGAACTCTTGTATGACATGTAAATATGTTTTTGTCGTGGCAACATCTGTTGATTATGGTTGAATGTTTGGGTCTTTTATTCTTGTTTAGTTGCCTGTAGCTATTGGAACTAAAAAGCAGGCACTTCCATTCGCTATCAGTATGCAACTTGTCTGAGTCTATTAAACTCTACTGACTGATAGGCAAAGACTCATTAGTTGTGGCTCGTGGGCGATCAATTTCTTTCATTGTTATCAATTATGGCTCAAGCAAGCAATATTTTTTTGTTTAATACTAAACCATGAACGCCTTACTTGTTTGCTTGAAGCTAATTACAAGTGTCTTGGAGAACCTTTGCTCGCCTGAAAATGTTGGTGGGCTTTATGAATTGATCACTGGAGGTTTAGTTGAAAAGCTATGAGTGCAAAAGTTTAAGCATGCTTCTCCTGTATATCTTATATTTTGCACGCCATGACATTGTTTGCCCTATTAATTTTCTTCTCTCCAGGGGTAGGGTCTTTTGGGCATACGTGTGGATCACGTAATACCCGACTAAGAATAACGGCAGTAGCCCACCAACTACAATCAATCCGGGGTTGTATCCTTTGGCCTCAACATCTCACCCGACATTTTTCTACAGAAGAAGCAATGTTAATTTGTATTAAACGTGAGTCGTGACACAAACCCTTGGCCTTGATTTCCTCGTAGACCGCCGCGGCTCCTACCGAGAAGACGCCTTGATAACTTTCCTTCAGCTCCTCGGCCCTTTGTCTCCGCTGAGCCCGGATTTCAACGAATGACTTACTCGGTTTTCCCGATTTTTCTTCCTTTGCCTTCCCTTTCGCCTGCGCCGGTGCCGGCGTGGCGTCGAACGTCGGGATGGATGAGGACTCCTCCGCCATGATATAGTCCTGAGCGTGGGTGAGGAACTCCTGGTAGGTGGTTGGCTTGTTTTGACACAGGGACCACCTGAACAGTGTCTTCGGCCTGAGGCCACCCTGGGCCGTGATGAGCAAGGCGTCGGGGTGGCACCGCTCCATATTTTGGACCCGATCGTTGAACCGGGCGATGTAATCCTTTAAACTTTCATTCTCGCCCTGCACAATGTTGGAGATGGATTTCTTGGGGGCGAGGTTGACCTGCGATCCGATGAAGTGAGACCGGAACGCCGACCTGAGCTGTGCCCAGGTTGAAATGGAGCGGGGGTAAAGGGAATGGTACCACCTCTGCGCCTTGAGCCCCAACGTCAGGGAGAACATGCGGCAGCGTAGGGCGTCAGAGGCGCCGTGCAGGTCCATCCACGAAGTGTAGAGGCCGAGGTGGGAATCGGGATCCGAGCTCCCATCATAGAGGCCGAGCTGGGGTATTTGTATTCCCTTCGGGACGGCTTCTTGCAGGATATCGGGGGAGAGAGGTGACGCGTTGTCCGCGACTCGGGGAGTCGGCCGAATGGAAGGTCGGGGATAGGCGGAGAGTGACAGCTCACTCCCTGAGGGGTGCCGACCCTCCAGTTCGGCGATTCGGCGTTTGAGGGCAGCGACCTCCTCGGTATCGTGCCCAATCGTTTTTCCGTGCCTGATTACTTCTCGGAGGTCGCGGTTGGTTTGACTCTTCTCACCCAGGCGCTGGTGGACAGATCGGCGGGCGACTTGAAGGCTTCGTCCCGAGCGACTCTCTCCCGTCTGCTCGGTTGGCGCCGGTCTGGCGCTTTTGTCGCGGCCGGTCTGCGCCTCTCGGTTCGGCGATTGAGCCGTGGTCTTAGACCTCGCCGGATTCCTCTGCCCCCCGGCTTCTTTCTCGGGGGTATGGAGTAGGGTGTTGCCGGCGTTCTCCGTGGGCGGCACGGTGTTTGCCCCGGCAGCCTGGCTGGCTAGGGCTCGAGCGAAGACCCCCTCAAGGGCCTTAAGGACGTCGGGGTGCTGCATGGCCGCAGCAAAGGTGGGAACAGGGGGAACAGGGACGATGGGCCCCTGCTGAACACGACGGGAGGTCTCCCCGCCGTTGCGTCGGCGGGGCTGGGAGCCGGACTGCTGGGAGGAGTCGTCATGTCCGGATGAAGGCATTTTGAATTGCTTTTGAAAGTGAAAAAGTGGAAAAAGATGAGCGTGATGTGTAGTTTTGCAAGATCGAAAAATTGACACCAAGTAACTTATGGTGCCCTCCTTCTAGCGCCAAACTGTTGACGGGCGTTTCCGGTCAACGGTTAAAAGGTTAAATACTGGGAAAATAATATGAAAAAGATGAGGAATTAGGGATTAATCACGATTTTATTGAAAGATCACGAGGTCGGCCTCTCGTACAAGGTCGACACTTGCGATATACTTACACGAGTTTAATACAAGTCTAGAGAGAGAAAATATAGGAAGAGCTCTTTACAGTTGAGATTCAACCACCCAAAATAAATGAGATGGGTTGCTATTTATAGTGGCCTTAAATGTGACACTGTTCAGGCACTGTTAATCAGTCTTGTCGTACAGTGTTCTTGTAGAGTAGTTCGGCGCCTCCCTGACAGAATTTAATGCGATTTGAGGTTTTTCTCATATTTGTCTGACAGGCATTTAATGTTGGTAGGTTTTATGTCTTGGCTAGGGGAAGTAGGTCAACAGGCTAGGGAGTCCCATCCATTAACCAATGATTTCCCTCCAAGTGGCATTATTATACTATTATCGAGATCGGTATTCCTCGTGGCGGAGGCCCGTCCTGAGACCCCAGGTCGGCACCTTATCTTCGTTCGTTCCTCCAATTCCGGGGAGCCTTTTCTTCCAGCCCGTCACTCATCAGACCGGCACCGGGACCCCATCATCGCAAATGCCGAACTAGCGGACGGACCCATGGGAACGTCATAGTCAAAAAGTTTTCCGGTCCAGCTCGGCACTTTCTCATTGGACCGGGTCTCCGGTTCGGCTCTCGAACTCGGGTGTCAACATTATTATAATTATTTATAATTTATAATAATTATTATTATTATCAATTATAAATTATAAAAATAATAATAATAAATAAATAAATTGTCCGGCCGGCTCGTGACCGGCCGGCGGGGCCGGTCCGATTTGGTCCGTCCAGCCCCCGATTCCGCCCCATTTTTCCGGCGGCCGGACGCGGCTTCGGATTAAAAAAAAATTTAAAATTTTTTTCGCACGTAAAAAAAAAATTAAATTACCTTGTTAGAGAAGAATGCTTTTCCGAGGCCGTATGATTTTTTCGACATTTTTTCGATGCTTGAATCGCTCGTTGAAAATCCGAGAATTTAGAGAGAGAGAGTTTAGAGCATCTCCAATGGCATGTGGATTGCCTCATTTTGTTGCCACATGTCACAATAAAACCTACGTGGCCTAAAAAAATTCTAGAAGTCTTTCTAGATGTAGAAGTACTTTTAGACAACTTCTACTACATATTATATAATTTATTTAATTTATTTCTTCTTTTCAACCAATTAGAAATTTACACATGTCAAATTAAACTATCTTTAACATTAACCATTGGAGACACAATTTCTTAATCTCCTTCCTTCATGCAATGCAACTCAAAATGGACAAGATACCATTGGAGATGCTCTTAGAGAGGAAAAAAAAAAGGTTAAGGTCAAAAAAGTAAAAAGAGAGACGGTGAGTAATAAAGGGAATAGTAAATGAGTAAAAAAAACCTTGTAACAAAATCGCTGGAACTTGAACATTACTATCTGCCTACCGCAAGTAGAGCTTCTAATCGTTCGCGTGCTACTGAGCAATATGCAGATTTTTGTTCGGTTGATGTGTGGCAAAAGAATAAAGCTCGAGGTGGAATCTACGGATACCATTCACAGTGTAAAGAGGAAGATTGAATCCCTAGAACGTCAGTTTTTCTGTCTATTTTTCTTTTTTATTTTTCAATTATTTACTGGAATTTGTAATAATCTCTTGTTTTCCGATTTCGCGTATTGTTCAGGGACCCGTTTGTGTGACCATCGTTTGATTTTCAATGGTTGGTGTCTTGAAGCTTGCAAAACCTTAGCGGACTACGAAATTGAGAAAGGTTTTCTTTTTTCTTTTTATTTATCTATTATTATTATTATTATTATGAATGCCATCTAAATGTAAATAAATCTGATTAATCTAGTATATGTTGGATTGATGGTGCAGGTTGTACTATAGATGTGATGCTGCGGTATGCGTCAAGTTGTGTACCATACAGTGACTATAGTAAACTGATTGAGAAGGTGGAAAGTCTTGAAGGGAGTCTGAAGTTGGCGAGGGAGAGAGAAAGCCATACGGCAAAGTTATTGGAAGCAGAAAGCGCTGCACACTCCCGCCTTCAGTCTAAAGTAGATCTCATGGCTCAGATGTTCGATGCCCTGCTTCGCCCTCCCTGACGCTTTCACTATTTTCAACGTTGTAATATTAACAACTTCTCTTTGTTTCGGTTGTCTGATTATTAATATTACAAATTCAAAGTTTCTATGGATATATTGGAGCTTGTTGATGGATTTAATAATCTCTTTCCTTTCCTACTATTTGCATTAGCCACATGGAAATTCCAATGTTTTCTTTAGCATGTGTGTAAGGTTTTATGTAACTAAGTGTTTCAAATTAAATTTTAATTCCCTTGTATTTTGTCAGATTTTACAGGTGAATGCCCTCTGATTTGTGTTTTATGAGTGCCGGTTCATATATTCCGGCATGTGTAAGATTTGTCTAGAATGTTTCATTGAGCATGTATATTATTTGTCAAGTCATTGTACTCGATTGAACTGGATTGTTTGTGGATGATTCATCTCCCACATGGGAGAACCATATTTTGCAATTGGGTGTTGGCAACTTTCATTGGGCAATTGGGTGTTAGCAACTTTCAATTGGCTGAAGACAACAGTAAAGTGGATTGAATTCTTCCAGTACATGATGCAACAGTACTAAACAATGCTGATTCTGTAAGAGTTATTTGCTGTTCTGTACCATTTTCTTCGGAAAAAGTTTTCAAATACACCAAATTTCCACCAAACCCCTTCATAGGATAAAGCAGAGATTGGTGGTAAATCAATAAATCTCTCTATTTCCACATTATTCATCAATTTTCTCATCTTTCTTTCTTTCTTTCTTTTTTT